TCCCGGACGCCCTTGGTGAGCCAGGGGGGCTTTCGGACACTCCTGCCCCCCTTGCTTCTTGTCGGGATGGACACCCCTTGGGCCCTGAGTATCGTTTCCTTAAGGAACGACCACTCGTCTTGGACACTGAGTTCCTCTGCCCTCAAGGACCCCAGTGCCTCTCCCACTAATCTCCTCATCTCAATGAAGTTGGCCCTCCTGAAGTCTAGGGCTACCGCCTTGCTGCGGGCCCTTGACACCCTACGCTGGATGGTGAATTCCAGCAAGCAAGTTTTCTCCAAACCTAATGCAGATCTCTTCTCAGGTTTCTTTTTCTCCAACTTGTCCCTTAAAGAGCTTGAAACTAGAAGGCACCAATCTGCAAGGGACTGCATGTGAATGGACTTGCAGGATTGGTATTTAAAAAGACAAGCGTTATGCTGACATACTAGAACCAGGAAACAAGACAGAGGGTGCATCTACAAGAGATGCGCAATGCCCACTGGATTAATTCTACTGCATGTTAGCGTGGCTGGCAAAAACCACACTAATGTGCAGTAGATTAGTCCAATGGGCATTAAGCATCACACAAAAAGCATTCATCTGTGCTAATGCGCAGTAGTGCTGATTATCGCGCATTTATTACAGGTACTAAATTTAATGCGCTGTAATTACGGAGCATTAATGAATGTGTAGATGCGCCCAGTCTTGACCACACCGAACAAAGTGCACACTACAGGTGAAGTTAATTCAAGTTCTCTCATTTTTAGCTTTCAGGTGACCGAGATAAAAAAAGCTACTGTCATATCCTTAGCAGCTTAACTAAACTCCTCTCTGGCCCAGCAAGCACCAGGAACAAAGCAGCAGGCATGCCGAAAGCCATTAGAGAGCAGTGTCTCCATGCTTTTCTATTCCAGCAAAGAAAAAGAGATCAGCCTTTCCACTTCAGGCATGCATTCCAGTTTTGGACAGCTGACTTTTGGGGAAACAGTGCATGTGGTAGGCAAGCAAATACAGAAAGTACTAAAAAGGTTTTACAGGGCTGCAGGTTTCACTAAAGCTGGTCAGGGTGTACAAAACTATTTAACCAAGTACCATTTTGGCACATTGCTAGAAATCAAAAATCGTAACAGTGCATGCAGCACCATTCTCTTTAGAGACTACAAGTCTTGAAAATGCAGTGCTCGGTTGGGACACAGTTATCCAGCCATATTCTACATGGAAACCTGTAGCTTCTAGGGCACACCTCCATACCAAACACTAAGATCTGAACACATTAATAAAAGCAAATGGTTTCCTAATTGATGTGAAGGGTGAGGAAGAGAACAGTACATGTGTTGGAAGGAAGATACCCCTGTATTTTTGTGTGTATTACAGGACTGCCAAGAGACCAACAAAAACAGGGTCCCACTGTGCTAGCCAACATGAGCAGTAGGAAGAACAGGAATTAAGCAGTCTTAATGTGTGTGAAAAAGGTGGGTGGAATTGGATAGTTTGTTCATGTTTGTCCTTAGGCTCTTGAATGGGACATCCAATAAAAATGCATGCTGACCACCTACTCAAAGGCCAAATATGGCACGTGCAGGACAAGACACTGTCTCACAGGGACTATGACATGAACACCTGCAGAGATGAAAATCCTGAGATTAGAAAAGCTTCTCACAACATCAGTGCGATAATTATGATAAGGTCTCCTGCTGTTGAATGAACAAGCCGCCCTTAAAATTATGTTCAGCGTTTTTTGGGGGTTTTTTGCTCTTTAATGTCCGGATTCAATAACTCCTGCACTCCAGTGGCTAGCAAAGCCCCCAGAAAACATCTCACAATGCAAAACTATAGCATAAAACTCAATGTAGTTATTCATATATACGCTCTCAAAATACTTGTGTGAGCCAATGGCTGGTTTTAAAAGCAAGGAAGACTTAAACTGAGTAGTAGGTCTCCTCAAAAAGCAGTAGGCCAGGAATCGTTAGCAGGAAATGTTTCCATTAGTGAACTCAGATGCCCCAGCAGGGATCAGGGCCCCATGAGGGGTACTAGACATACAGGCCGACAAATCTCTGCAGAGCATGCAATACAAAGACAAACAGAAAAGCAAAGGTAGGGAATGAGGACAAAACATTCCCAGAAGGAAATACAGTGAAAAGCTGTCATGACTTTGTTATGCATATTGTTGCACCCTAACTCCCAAATTAGGTGGACACCTACTGGCTCTGCTCTCCTATACAGAGAAACACCATAGTCCCAAACACAGTTTATTGAGTCAAATGGACTTTGAATGCCGGTTCCTGGTCAGCCACACTCTGGGAAGTGCGCATGTGCTGAATGATTCAGCAGCGGTCCCAACATCAATGCTTTAAAAGACCTAGTTGAATCCAGGCCAAAGTGCACCTCCAGCACAGACAGGCAACCTATTTGTTCAGCTGAAAGTGCAGACAACTGAAAAAAGCCAGAGAGCTAAAGCTTTTACAGGGGAACTCACCAACAACCATTCCCTTTCCCCCTCCCACGAGGGGAATCTAAAAGGGAAGAAAGCAGCATTTGCTCTAGTCCCGTGGTTCTCAACAGGGTGCCGCAAGCCCCATCCGGGGTGCCACAGCGTGAGTCCTGTATTGGCCAAGCTGAAATGTCATGCATGCAACCTGCACTCTTCCTACAGCCTCTCTCAGTCTGACCCCAAATGGAAACAGGTGCATTGAGCAATAGGGACTGTCCTGTACCCCTCTGTTCCCAGCAGGAGTGCGTGGCATCAAGACCAGGAAAGGCTGTGCTCTGGCCTTTGTGCTGTCCACCCGAGGGGGTCAGATGGGACCCTGAAGCAGCCCTTTACAGTGCCTGGACACTCAGAGCAGCCTAGCTGAGAAGCACGGAGATAAACAGAGGAAGCACAACAGTGGCTCTGGACTGTGGGTACTGCCAAATTCAAAGGAGTTGTGGAGGGGTGCCCCAACTCCAAACTAGTTGAGAACCACTACTCTAATTCTTCCTGAGCTTGGTTTTCATCTGCTGAAGTCAGCGCTGTTGCCACTGCCTATAGTTAAGGTCACGCAACAGTTTCCATTATAGGACCATTTTCAATTGCCTATAAAACTTTGCCAAATTTTAGTCACTTGGGCTGAAGCATCCCACACCAAGTGTTCACTTCAGGCAGAATTTTCTTTTTTGTTTCAGTCCATAAGGTTCAGGGTTTTACAGAATGAGAACAGGGAAAGACCGGGTAATTTACCCCTGCTACGAAAATGCAGATAGCTGTTTCAATGAGCAACAGTCTAATCCCTCCATACTTTTCATGAAGGACTGGAAATTCAACGGATTATCGCAATCTATACATATTCAAGGCAGGCAAAGTAAGGCTCCAGAGGCAACGTTAAATTGGCACCTCCTTTGAGAGCCTGCATTTTGCAAAGTTGATTTAAACAAAAACAAACCCCTCACCATACACAATTTAAAAATAATCTTTTTTTTTTTTTAAGAGAAGTTAAGATTTTTTTTATTTTTTTTGTGTTAGAACAAGATTTTTTTTTTTTAAGAATCTGAATTTAAGAAATTATGCTCAGGCCTATATTTATTTTAAACTTCTTAAATGTTTACATTTATTTTGCTAAATCTGAGAGTCAGAAATTCAGCCTGAATAAAAACAAGGGTGAGGATGAGATCAACCAGTTGTAAAAGTTTGAAGAATGGCTTAGGTAACCTAGGAGATGGGATCTTTTTTGAGGTCTTTAAATAAGTCGGAATTTAAGATCCCATCCCTTTCACGTTGGCAAAGCTGAAAGTTTTCCCAGGCCAACCTGAAATAATCCATTTAATTCACTGACTAAAATTAACCCCACTATTCTATAAATTGTTTAATTGTAAATAAGAAATATGTTTTGATCAAAGATGTTTTAAATGCAGTAAATATTTAAGTTTGTTTTGTTTAATAAAATATAGTTTTATATGCTGCTGCTGTGTGTATAAATCCCACTTACCATGCTAACGCTTTCTGCAAACTATGAGCAAAAAATGATCTGGCACATAATCAATATCATTCTCATATCATACTAGAAGTGTAAACTTAGTAAGTCTGAAAACATGCTACCTTAGGACTCCTTAAACAAGTTATACGGTCATAGCACCTTCTCCAAGATCACAAAAACATGAACCAAATCTAGTGGAAGAGCACTGTTTAGGTATAAATCTATGCGTTTTGAAGGGTTATATCAAATCAGCAAGAACATAAATCTTTCC